GGAGCCTAAATTGGTTTTATTTTGGATGTGGCCTTTGATAACTGAATTGGAGACTTCTCTGTGGGAATAATTCTATTCCTTTGATATATTTACACATCTAATTGCATCTCCTACCCTGAACTGGTGGTGGCAGTTGTGATGTGGATATGAAGTAGAGCCCAGTGCTGTCTGCTTTACATGCAATTTCATCTACCTGAAACAGGCTGGATCAAATGACTGAGAAGTAGAGAGAGGATAACAGCCACTTCCCAGTGCAGCCCTGGTAAATTCAATGGGCATCAGCACCAATCCGTTAGGTGGCACTGATATTCATTCTTAGTTCACTATGAGCAGAGGCTTGAGATGACAAGTAAATTCCCCATTTAGAGAACCCCCAGGTTGTAGGATAAAAAGCAGGGACCCCAAGAAAGGGAGTCTGGAGCCTGCAGTATCCGAAGGAGAATGGAGAATCTCTGAGCTGCAGCGCAGAAGGAAATCCTTGGACATGAGCTGGAGACCCTCATTTGGGATGGCACAAGGACAAGAATCCTTGTGCTGTGATGCAAAGAAGTTGAGGGTGGAAGAGGATAAATCTTAGCACGTGGCATGGAGGATCCCTGCATGGGAGAATCTGAGCAGGAGGATGTCCTAGGGCAGTGGTCAAATGCAAGTATGTTCCTCACAGTTCTGGAAATTTGTCTCCATGGACAGGGCTAGCTTCCCACCTGACATGTTCTTCTCATAGCAAGACTGCAGGTCTTAGGTCTGCTCTGCCCAAGGCTAGGTTTCACTCTTAGCTTACCCAGACTCCTACCATTGTTCAAGGTGTTTGAAATGGACAGTCCCCAGAGGTTCTCATCTCTCTTATTCTCTTGCTACTGCCCACAGATGCCAGGCTTCGGAGAGCTGATCCTGGAGCAATGGACTATGCTGGGAATGGAAGGGTTTGGGAGCAGATGAGACTCATGGAAGGGTTGGTAATCGCAGACCTGAGAGAGAAAGACAAGAAAAACACCCAGTACATTTGAGAAAGCTTTTTTTTCAACATTATTCAGAAGTCCAGACTGGTTGAAA